ACAGGTTTCTAGTTGCATTACTAATACTCACTGAACATTTCACTTGGAAACCAACTTATCCAAATGTAAGCGGTTCCGATAGAAATGTGAAAGCATTACACGTGGCCATTCTGCGTTTCGATCATCACATCGCCATCATCGTCGCTGTCCTGGTCTGGTGCCACGTACACCACTTCCAAGTTCAGCTCTCCTTCCTACAACCTCATAATTCAATATCATCGTCTAAATTTTTGAGCCATAGTAAATGATGGGGAAGACAGAGAGGATGCACAACGAGGCTCCATTTCAGCGAGATAGAAAAATCATCCTTTAGGCCAAGCAGGCAGTGTACTGTTCCTGAACTACTGTTGCAGTGTAAGAACTCACCAAGGTGAAATCACTTCTCGGGATGCATAGTTCATGCTGCTTATCTGCGAAGCCAAAAAAAAAAAACTTTGAGTCTAAGGTTTTGTAAACAAAATTTCCGAATATACAGCGGATGTAGAACCCGAATTTATCTTTCAGGTTATTTTTCGCCCTACAGATTTTCATTCCAGGTGCAAACTCGGTTATTGCACATAATACAAAATTAAATTGATTAAAAGCTTGGAATTTTCAGAAGTCCCGGATCGCACATCTGAAAACTGAAATTAACTTCTAGCACAACAATCAATTTCGCTTTGGCCTTTTGCTCAAATCTGATTTTCTGTAGATCTTCAAACTTCAGAGCGAGAAAAGATATCGTTGAAATTTCAGTGAAAAATTGTGGCTATATAATACATCTGTGTCTTGCTTTTTTTTATTCCTTGCCGCGAATTGTATAATTTACAGGCTAAAAAAGATAGAACCTTCACATCTTTGGCTTGCGCAACGGAATACTAGCATTATAACTTTTTGTCAATCAAAGCTTCTTGAGAAATCGAAAATAGCAGCACTAAATGCGCGGACCAAAGCAACCCTTGAAAGCATAAATTGGGCTTTGTGGGTGGCGGTCTTTTCTTACTTCCAGCTTTCGCCACTTCAGTAATATTGCCAGTCAAATCACCTCTTTAGTAGCCAGCGTTATTTTACCTGTTTTCACGCCATCTTGTTTTTCGTTTTCATAAGTTTTGAACGCATTCAGTTCGCTATTTGCTTTTTTTTATAGCCAATAGCTTAGCAAGCGCTCGAATTACTCTTTGTCAAAAGTGTAAAAAGAATTAAGCTTAGAACAGAGAAACATAAAAACAAGGAGTAGTAACCTCAAACCTGTTCGGAAAGTATCTGTACAGCCTCGTTGTGCTTTGCGGTACGCAAGTCGATCCCGTTAACGGAGAGGATGGCATCACCGACGTACAGTTGACCACAGCGTTCGGCTGGCTGGCTGGGATGGATCTCGGAAATCAGAATCGGCACACCGTGCTCCTTTCCACCCTCAAACCAATGATTTTTACAGTACATGATAGAATTCATTACTGCAGCTACCCGAGACCAATAGGGGCCAAAACGCAAAATTTCACTAACTCTAACTTTTCGTTATAAGCCTAAATTTGACTGTCAACGTCGAATCCGTCAAGGGATAGCCCTAAACCATTTTCCTCTAAGTACGAAACGCCAAAATTTGCGAAGTAAAAAACGTGGGCCGAAATATTGCTTGCAAGGAAAAGTGCAGTACGCTGATGACCGCAGATTTGGAAAGAAGCATTATATTGTTCTCAGGCAGCACCATATTTGGCTGTTCTTTCTAAATGTCTAGCAAGAAATGTTAGAAAAGGAAGGAAGGAAAAAGCGAAGAGAGTGGTAGAAGTGGAAAGGGGAGAGAAGCACTCTTTGTCTAAAAAATTTGAAATATGTTGCTGTTTTTATGCTTGAAAAACAGTAGAGTACACATTTTGCTGCATACGAAAACGCGACGAAAAATCGAATCTATAGTGCATAAACACTCATTTATCACCTCTGAGGTTATTCGAGCTTACACTGAGCTAGCTGTTTGAAATGGCGTCTTAAGACCCCATACGAATGCGTTGCAGGTGTTGTGTGTCTAGCTTTCACCCATTAATTTTGCAGCGACTACTGTGGATGAGGATGGAAAGCATGTTTATATAAAGCAGTACCGTAATCGAAATGCCGAGGCCTTCATGAGTTTCCTTGACGAGTTTAACAGCGCGGATATGTCCCACACCTTTGTGTTTCCTCAGACTTCTGTAGTCGTGGTGTGGTGGTGATGGTAAATGCTTCTGATTACCTCGCCCTCTGCAAATTATGCTTGGAGTTTTATGGCTGAAAAATTAATACAAAATACTTACCAAACCGGGGATTCATAGTTAGAGAATGGAATGGATGAGCTTTTTATAAGACTGAACTGATCTGACTTTTGGTGCGAAAAATTCAAATTTATTGGAAATTATTATGCGTTTTAGCTCATATGCAAATTGCAAAAACGCATATTGCAACGACCCTGTCTGTGTGTGTTGTGTGTGTGTATTCGTCTGTCCGAGATTTCAACTCGGCAATCAACCAAGCTCTGGCGCCAAGACTTTGCTAGTGGATTTTCCAGTGCTCCCCAGAACTGCGGCACCGACCCTCACGCAACCCTGGGCCCCGCGTACGAAAGGGTGAAAGTTTTGGCGAAAAAATTGACAACTCGGGGACGAGAAAAGATAGAAAGCTGAAATCTTGAGGTTATGTTTTCCCCACAACTCACACATTTCTAATTCAGCTCCCAGGTGTGCGTGATTCCCGTGTACAGCCTCATAAGGGCCCCGGCGCGAAAATCGCTAGCTTTTTCGTATTGCATAGCTGCAAAAAATGCATAAAAATTGAAAAAACCAGTGCTAATACTCAAAAAAGCCAGATCATATGAATTATAAAACCATGCAGTTGCGGCTAAAATATGAGAGTAAAGAATGCCTATTAAGCCAAAGTCAAAACCATTTCACTTTCTGTAGAAGACGGAGGCAGTGAGAAATAATTCCCGGGTAGCACATGCCAACAACAACTACACGCTTGCAAGATTGTCGATAACCATTTCTTTTAAGGTTTGCTCAGAAGCAAATTAATGGCAGTTCGTTTTCTCGGCATGAATTTGCACCACTTTATCATCGAAACGAATGAACAAGTCTTAACCTGGTCTAAAGCGTACCGGCTGTCGGTACGAGAATGCGTTTTTTGCACAGTTCCTCCGCAGGTTTTTTTCACCAGTGGCACGTTCTTCCTGGTAGTTGCTTCTAGCTAAAAGAATTGGGACTGGCCACCACGACTGTTAGAAATTATCACAATGACTTCCAATCAGTGCCCAAAAAATTCAGCGCTCTGAATGCTTCGGTTGCGGAGTTACGTCAAACTTTACGCGTTTGTACGTGAGTGGCAACGTGAATGCTTTCTTCGTCTCCGGCTGTTCAAACACGGCCCTAGATAGCGCTCAGAAAGTTTCAGTGCTCAAGCTGCTCTGGTTGCAGAGTTACGTCAAATTTCACATGTTAGTATGTGAGTAGCAACGTGAGTGCTTTCTCCACTTGCGGTTATTCAAACATGGTCCTGGGCAACGCTCAGAAAGTTTCAGCACTACAGTTGCTTTGGTTGCAGAGCTACGTCAAATTCGACGTGTTTGTACGTGAGTGGCAAAGTAAATGCTTTTTTAACCCGTGGTTGCTCAAACACGGCCCTGGGTAATGCTCAGAACGTTTCAGCACTTCAACTGATCTGGTTACGGAGTTACGTCAAATTTCATGTGTTCGTACGTGAGTAGCAACGTGAATGCTTTCTTCACTTGCGGTTACTCAAACACGGTTCTGGGCAGCGCTCAGAAAGTTTCAGTACTCAAGCTGTTCTGGTTGCAGAGTTACGTCGAGTTTCACCTGTGCACACGTGAAACGTACGTGAGACGTGAAAGTGATGTGTAGGTCGTTTTTACGTGCATCTGGTCAAAGACCACGGTCGGTTATGCTTAGAAAGTCCAGATCCTCCGGCTGGTTCAATTCTGAAGTTAAAAAAGCGCATGCTTGAAATTTTCACGTGTTCGTACATGTGATGCAGAGAGGCTGGAAAGTTCAACTTGCTTTCACAGGCACATTAGTGGGCGACAAGTAATGCTGCAAAATCGCAGCTCTCTGCAACTTATTGGTAGCTGAAAGCTGGAGTTGGCATGATGCCAGTTTAAACTGTGACGTACGCGTACGTGAAACCTAGGGATACGTGAAGGCTAAATTTGAAATCTTTGGATTAGACTGGGTCAAGGAATATCTCTGTGAAGTTCCAGCCCCCTAGCATGAACCGTTCCCGAAAACGCTTTCGCGCCAAAAAAAAAACTTCCACGTGCCCTTAAGTGAGAACTACGCGGACCTGAGTGTCCATTTTAAGGGTACGAGCCCGATTAAGTCACCAAATTTTCAGCCTTTTAGCTTTTGTGGATCTCGAGATACGTTGCAAAAGGAAGAAGGAGCGAAAACAAGGGAGCGAACTTGGAGGTTCATTCCCCCTTCGCCTTGTCCAGTTGCCCTTCGGTTTCCTGTAATATGTAAATGCCCCGTCTCTTGGCTTGAGTTCCCCCCTCCACGATATTTAATGTGATAATTGAAAATGAAATGTTGAGTGTGTAATCGCTGTTTTCTGGCGGCGGCTGAATGTGTGCGGCGGCAGCTTGGAGCTGCTGCCGCTTGTAATTTTCGCATGTGGCCGGTGGCAGCTTGGAGCTGCTGCCGGGCGATTTCTGGCTAGTTGTTTTTTTTTGACTTTTTTTTTTTTTTTTTTTT